GCTTATTTGAATAAGCACTTATTTTATATTGGACATTTGGTAGTCTTTTTCTTCAATAAGCACTTAAAAAGCATTTGTGATTATTTTGTCCATCATTTTCTTTCAAATTTTTAAAATATACCCTTATGAAAGTACTTTTCTTAAATTACTATTATAAAAACACTTTTACAGAAGTACTTTTATGAAAACACTTTTACAAAAATCCTGTATCAAAATTCTCTTTTGAAAGCATTTTTATAAAAGTACTTTTATAAAATTCAAGTAGAGATGATTTTATAAGTGGTACTTTCAAATTCAACTAGGGATAATTTTGGAAGAAAATTGAATAAGTGCATAAGCACTTAAAAAAGATAGAAATTTGGGCTTAAAAAATAAGCATTTATTTCGGGCTTATTTCACAAACACCAATAAGTGCTCAATGGTGTAGCCCCGGCCCAAATAAGCACTTATTTTTAAGCACTCCTAAACATGGCCTTAGATTTATAAATTACAATCCTCCTAAGATACAACACTACAATGTGAAACCTACCTTAGATAACAAGGGGTGGCATTAAAAATAGATAGACAACTTATCAAATTTACGAGCAACCCACATTTGCTATGACAATATTGTAGCCCTGCGCTCAAACGAGTAAATTAAAGCCTTTGATTTTTTGCCATGGCCCCACCTTGAATTAGATGAAGTGGCTTCCTGGTGGGGCTACTACAGTTAAATTGTTAGATGTGTCAATTGGACTGGATTTGGTCCAACACGATCCAATCCAATGTGAGTCCACTTACAAATGGACTAGACCCAATCCAGGCCAAATCCAATCCAATCCATTAAAATGTAAATGGACTGGATTGGATCCAATCATCCAATCCAAACCGAATGAAATATAAAAAACTGAACATATAAAAAATTACAAAAATATATTAAAATGAAGAAAATCTAAAAATTACAAAAAATATACCCTTTTGAGTTTTGGCATTGAAAAAGAAATTTTGTAAAAGTGATTTCATAAAATTCATAAAAGTACTTTGATAAATGTAGTTTCGTAAAAGTGTTTTCGTGTAAAAGTACTCTTATAAAAGTGTTTTCACAAAAGTACTTTTGTAAAAGTGATTTTATTAATGTAATTTCATAAAAATGCTTTCATAAAGTATTTTTGTAAAAGTGAGTACTTTTCATAAATGTGTTTTTGTAAAAATACTTTCGTAAAGGTGATTTTATGTCAGATTCAGTTTTGATCGGTTTTAAATTGGACAAGGGTTTAGCCTCATAATCGAATTATTGAAAATTTGGTTTAGGCCCAATTCAGACTAATAAGAATATGGACTAATTTATTTTGGATTGGTCCAATCTAATAATTATAATGAATCATCCAAATCCAATTTGATAAGAGTTAAATAAGATTAGATCCAATCCAAAACCGATCAATTGACACCCCTAACTACAATAGATCCGAGGCCATGATTTTCTTCTTTAGCCCAGTGCAAAGACAGTGTAGTAGCAAAAATGAATTCATTTGCGGGAGGATTGATCAATTTATAGGGGTGTGTGTGAATATATGGAGTAAACTTTATGTTGTAGCAGATGTACCATAGCATTTGCCAAGATTTAAATGAACTAATTAATAACTAGTCTCCCCTAAGTGTGTCAAGCTTGTGGGGAGGCAGAGGTTGGTTGGATTTCTAAGATTTGCTTTTGCATATGGAGCCACATTCTTATCACAACAAAGTGGGGCAAATATATATTTTAACTAGTGGAGAAGAAAAAGAAATTGAGTGGCTCCTTGACTGCTTTGCTAATTGGATACTAATCAACATCCTAATGACGTTGGAGAGAGGAAGCAAATCGTAAAGCTGAGCTCTCACAAATAATAATAAGGGAATTCGTTAGTAAGATCGGAAGTGGAAGAAACATTCCAATTGAAAGCTCAGTCCATTTGCGCGAGCAAAAACTTTCTTTCTCAGGATTAGTTGGAGTTAGATCTCACCTTTCTTGCCTACTGCTCTTTACTCACACTCAACCCGCCTTGAATTGCAGCCATACATCGCCATCTTGTATTGTGAGATGTGTGGCTGCAATGTAATGTGGGTAGGGTGCAGGTAGAGAAAGTGAGTAAGAAATCTGTCCACATTGTAATTATCAAATAGGAATGACCCTGTACTAAGTGCCGGACCATTAATCTGAATGATTTCAATTTTTTTTTTAAATTATTTATATTAGACATTTAGGTTAGCATTTTGTTTGATTTAAGAGACTTTCCATGTTTTATCTAGAGGATGACCCCATACTAAGGGGCAATTACAGTATCATTTAATTTGAAATTTACTATTTAAGTATAAAAAATTAAATTAGAAAAATTAACATGGTCTTACATCTTTGTAATTGACAATGTATTCTAACCTACTTTGTTTGAAAATCACTATTAATTTATATTGTTTTTAATATGAACAATTCATGCATTTCCTGATGGAAGGCTAACGGAGAAAAGGCTTTTTTAATACATGGGGGGGTTCTGGAAGTTCAAAAGAAATAGATGGGAGAACCTAACTAGCCCAATAATTCGAACATAGGACGCAGTTACATTCTATTAAATATTTAGATATCCATTATTTGAAAAATGACTCCATTAATTTATTGTCCTATTATTTTCTATAACTATTCTCATGTATCCATGTTAGCATCTAATTTACATAATGTTACAGATGGATATGAAAAGAATAAAATAATTAATTGTAGAATTGCAAAATGGAGCAGAGATTAGGCACATCTCTTCTGTGTTCATTGTTTTCATTTATGCATTACGGAGAAGTACGCATACACTCAATGCACAAATCCAATTTTCACTGTACAGCTATAAATATTCAAAACATCCAAAAATCATATTTTATGTATCTATACCCATTTATAAATTGGCATCAATTTCCAACTAACACTTACCCCAAATATATTTTAAACTTACTAATTCGGACACTACGGATATCCGATCATTCTCCCTAAAATATATAATACGCCTTATTACCTAATACAACGCCATCATTTGCCATACATAACTTCTTTCTCTCTGGAATGAACATAATTTATTACATTGTTTTGGTCCTCTTTATCTTATGCATTTTAAGATTTTCTATAATTATTAAAATATTATATTATATTATTTAATTAAAAGAATCTTCCTTCCTACTTTCCGGGTGGAAAGGGCTGATATGACTCTCGATGCTGGTCCTGTTTTCTTTTGCTTTCGAGCTTATTAATAGTTAGCTAATCACATTGGTGGAAAACCAGAAAGAGGTTGATTGAAATCTCCATATTAATTTCTCAAGTACAGTTCTTGTGCCAAGTGGCTGGGGCTACCCTCTACTTTATACCAAATTAAGTTTTTATAATAAATTGTTAGAAAATTATAAAACTGAACAAATTATTAATTATAAAATAATTCTTTAAAAAACAGAAAAACTAAAAAAATTTTGCTTTTGATGGTGGATACGTGTAACGTGTAGTCCATTTTCAAAAGAATTAGTCTCAAATTTTAAAAGAAAAATAATAATAATAATAATAACAACTTGTTAATATTATGAAAATGTTAATTAAATATAGTACGTACGTACTCTCCATTAATTAAAGAGATCAGATGTGAATGGTTCGATCCGGACTGGAATAGAATCGGGTGGACCGGTAGACCAATACAGGATTTAGGAAATTGGAGTCGGAACACCAACAACACCACCTTACTGCTACTGCGACGTCAACCTCAGCCTCTCACGGGTTTTTTCTAGTCGATAAGGGCAACTTTTTACTCTTAATATCAATAAAAATAATATTTTTTATATAATAACTAAAATGAGATGCCTTTTTCGAAAAAATTAGGGCATTGGATACTGTTTACTCGTCTTCCTCCCCTCTGTATTCATGCGAACGTCTTCCTCCTCTCTGTATTGCAACGAGCTGCCGGAAAAATGATTATTTTCTGCGACCATTAAACTGAACCGGAAAAATGAGTGGGTAACTGAATGATTCCTTTTGCATATAACTATTTTAGCCATTAAAGAAAGCGGTAACTCATTCAGTTTCAGGTTCAGCCTCTTCACTTCAGATTCAGTCCACCCCTTTTTCTAGCAGGTCCGGACTGTGGTAATATCAAAACAAATTAGCTAGAAGGCCATAACCCCATCAACTGTCAAGAAGAAAAATAAATAAATAAATAAGAAAGCAAAACTTGTCAGCGTCTCTGGTAAATCTGGGTGTCTCTTGATATTATCAGTTAAATCTTAGCTTGAAGGACAGTAGATAAGAAAGCAAAACTTGTCATCTCCGGTAAGACTGACCAGCATCTCCGGTAATATCAAGAGATTCGTTTATTTATTTTTGGAGGTCACAGACTCACAGAGGACGAGGCTCAGTGACTCGTTGAACTTCCATTTTGAAGAGAAGAAAGCAAAACTTGTTGATTGAAAAGTAGAGGAACCCTCCTCGCGAGTGGGGTGGGGTTAGGCTGTGAGCTGTTTGAGGCGGCATCAATAACTGTTTTGGCCTATCCGAACGCTCTCTCTTGCGTGGCTGCCGACATATCGGCCGATTTCAGCCGTATATTTAGTTCCAGCGATCGCTGCCTCTGGACGCATACGGTAGAGTACTTCCTCATGTTTTTTCTTTCCATCTTCAATTTTTATGTTCTGCAGCAATTTTCTCCAAGAGAGAGAAGTCGGTAGCTGATTCTAGAAGTTGGTTTCTATGAACTTTCCGTCTTCGATTTTCGGTCTCTTTGCAAAAGCTCGTTTCTGGTGAAAGTTACGTTCGAATGAGGAAGACGAGCAATACTACCCAATGCCATTATTTGAAATTTTTTTGAAAAAGCTATCTTATTTTAATTATTATATGGAAAATATTATTTTTATGGATATTAAGGATAAAAAGATGCCCTTATCGGTTAGAATCCCTAGTTTTTATCAGTAACCACTCCATTATCGAAGTAAGTTGTAACAACCCTCCCAAACGGGCCAGACCCATCGAGTGACGTGATTTGATTTGATTAATCAAAAGTCTTCCCTTGTAATTGCCGAGGATTTGAACGATCTTCTCTTTTACAGGGAACGGAGAAACAAACAAGAACAAAAAGTTACAATCTACGTACAAAGCTCTCAACTCAACTCAAGCTTCAACCAAAACTCTCACTTCTTCTCCGATGTTCTCCTTGCCTTCTTCCTTCACTAGTTGTCTCTCTGATAGATCCTTCATGTGGTACTCAAACTTGTCTACAATACTCTCCGGCACCGACACAAGAACCCTCACACTGTTTATATCGCCGACAACGGGCAGAAACAAACAGTAAATTTCACTTGCCAGAGGGCCCATGTGGAGTGGCTTCCCTTCTCCAAAATCCAAGTCTTCTAGCCCTAATCTAGACCAGGGAGAGATGACCAAGCTGGCGGACAGATCGGGTTTCAATCGCCGTTCCTCTAAGAGATCGATCATAGACCTAACGTACTCGTCGGTGAGAGCTGCCTTAGCCTGTTGCACCAGTTTCACCCCGTGGTGTAAGTTAGCACCCAGCAGCTCCTTAACAGTGGTCTCGGCGCATGCTAGCACGAATCCGTTGCCGTAGTACCCTTGCGGCAATTGCGGGTTGTTCAATGTTTTCCTGACGTTCATGGAGAAGAGGAGCTTGATGTTGAGAGATGAAGGAGGATTTAGAGATTTCACCCAGGAGCGCCACGTGTGAGAGGCAAGGGCTTCAAAGGAGGTGCATTTTAGAGAGGGGATGCAGAGGCGCTTGAGGTGAAGGATATGAGATGGAGTGAAGGTGAAGGAAGTAGGTACGAGGGGTTGGGATTGGAGAATCTGCATGAGGTCCACGTCCCTCTCCCTGGTGGCACTATTGGTAAATTCCGGGTGAGTGAATGTCATTTTCGGAGGGATTCGGGGTTTTAATAAGTAGCGACCGTGAAACGGGGAGACGGGAAGATCGCTATTGGGCTTGGTGGTGAGGTGGGCCCAGGCGTGCAAGAATTGAGAAGTGCCGATACCATCGCACAGACAGTGATTGATCCCCGTGCACAATATCATCCCTCCACAGCGAAAGCTTGTTACCTGTTGAAGGGTAAAAGTGGGAGAAAAAGTAAAAAAGGGGTTAGTTTCATTCACCCTTCACGGGAGTCAGGGCACTAAGGAATAAATAAAAGGAAGCGAGGTCATTTTTGTCATTTAAGAAACTAGGGAACACCACCAAACTGCTCCCATTAAAAAGAGCAAGAGAGACAAACAAGGGACTGTTTTCGTATGTTCATATTTATGGACTCTGGGCCTGGGGCTATCTTCTTTTATCATCTCCCGGGTTCCTTGTCCCGGCTTTTGAAAGCAACAATAACATTTTAAGTTTTATTTTTCTTTCAATTAAATATTGGAAGAAATACTCATTTTCTTATAATAATGACAAAATTTTGGAAATTTAGAACCCGAGTTAAATAAAATAAAAATAAATTTCCTGCCCAATGCTGTGATAATGGATCGGGTCATTTAGCAACTGACCAATTCTAAAGTTTCTAGCTTGAACAATGCCCAATGGGATTGTTGGTGGGTCGGGTCATGCTCGGGCCCCCAATCATAATGACAGAAATAGGAAGGTAAAGATATACGAAAGATTGGCATATTTTTATCTATTTCTGGAAAGCTCGTTGGATTCAGAAAGCAACTCCATTGAATCAGGGATGGGTGACAGAGTGAGTGTTAAGTAACCAAAATCGAGATTTGTATTGGAGGAGCTACTCTATACTATTGATATGTGATCCACATTTACACGATAGAGTTCCCCGCACGGTGTTGAAAATTTTAAATAATTTCTTACGTTTATATCCTACTTATGTTTGCATCAGAACATTCCTCTTTGCATGAAAAGGTCCAAAGGGACCCCCAGACATGACCGCACTGGTCTTGCTGTGAGTTCAATTTTTATTCTTCACATTTCTTTTGTCAAACCGAAGAATTTTTTAACTAAAATAGAAAAAAAAACATCAGATCTCAGAATTCAGTGTTGTTGCAGAGCCAAAAGAAAAAGAAAGAAAAGAATCAGAGTAACAAAAATCTGACTAAAAAAAATAAAAGTATGAACCATGAACAGAGCAGAGGAACTAAGACTAACTGCATATACGTAAGCAGATGTATAAATTTCAAATCATATAAAAAGCTTAGAAATTCAAACGAATTGGAAAAATATACGAAGAAAAGAAAGAAATATTGCAGAGATGGGAATATCAGAGCAAAATTAAAGAAAGTTGAGAGAGAACAAGGACAAATAAGTATGGAAGAAAAGCTGACCTGAATTACAAGAGGAGGGATATCCAAGAAGCTTTGGGCATCCACCCTGTACAATAGCTTTCTCCAAGACCTATTGGGTCGTCTTGAAGCTTCAAGAAACTCCTCCACTGTGAAATCCATGAAAGCTTCTGCAAACAAAGCACCTTCTCCATTGCAATCAATCTCAAGCTTGTCTTGATTTTCGGAGCTCAGTCTCAACCTCCCTGCCAATGGGTAGTAATCCACAAGAACCCTTGAGAGTGATGATTTCAAGCTCTCTGAGCTTACAGCTTTCTTATAAACATAGACATATTTAATTGAGAATCTCAGAAACTTTTGGTCGTCGAGGTTAGAGAGGTAGAGTGAATGTTTTGGGGTCGGGCTCTCTGGGCAGATTAAAATGGGCTTGTTTTGATAATAACAATCTGGGAGTTCTGAAGATCTGAACATGTTGAATTGTTGTTGTCGTCGTTGCGATGAAACTGAGTGACAGAGAGAGAAAGAAGGGGAGAGGGAAGGAGAAAGCAAAGCAAAGCGAATGAAAGTTTAAGGCGAGTGTTGAGGGCAATTTGTAGATGCAGAGAAATAACGTGTCAGGATCAGATCTACAGTTGGATTTGGCACGTACGATTAGATTCCTGTTCTATTGATGGGTTTTTCGTATTTTACAGGAAAAACAAAAAGATCTATAAACAATATGAAAGAATGAAACAATTAGTTGCGGTTCGGATTTTCTCGGGAATTTCTCGGGATTGAGAAATTGAGAGAAACAATAGTTTTCTAAAGCCCTTGCAATAAAAATAAAAATGCTGAATAGGTCGGCCCTAAGCTATAAAAATTTTTGCATATCGTGATCCGACGGTTACTATTAGTGATGGGACCCGCAATATGAAGATAAAGTGTGGAGATGGTGATCTTTCGGCCATCAGATCATGGAGAGATGATGATGACTGTTGAATGTAAAAGTTTGCCATTAAGATACTGGATACCGTGTGCTCACATGTTGGTCACGTGCGAGTGACAAGTGAGTGAGACTCGCCTACTCGGGCATCAATCCTATATCTATCATGGGAATCTTTTACAATTGACTAAACGTTTCTTCTATCAAAATTTAAGATGAAGACACGTTAATTGAGCGATTAACAACCGTCAGATTATCTCAGATTGATGTAAAGAGGTCATAGAGCCAGTTATTTTCAGTCTGATGTACGTAAGATAAGCAATTCTCTCGTGAGAGTGACTCTCTTCTCTAACAGTTTCTTCATTTTAGTCATAAAAAAAAACCCTAAATAAGTAAATAGTTGATTTTCTTTATAATTTTGGACAGTTGGGACCTTTGGGGGATCGTCTCTGTCCTTCCCAAAGGCACTACTCCATAGAATACTCCACCATCGGATGTTCCTCGGCCTCCTACAAAATACAGAATCAAACATAGATTTTGAGATCAATCAGGATGAGCGACGTGGCAATACTTCATCCATCCGTGCTTAAACGGTCGTTCCGTAGTCCACCTTATGGTATATTATAATGGCGACTCCCTGAAAAAAAGTGTCCCCTACGCTCCTATCTTAATTCATAGTGTTTCTTTAACATCTCTCGCATCATCACTCTATTCCTAGGAACTTTTAAACTGGTTGGACCACAGTCCACAGAATGATGGAATTTGAGAGCTTACATTACAATGTTCTAATCCAACTTCCCATACAGTCCCAGGCTCCATCCAAATCCAAGCAGGGAAGCCCAAAAACCAAGGAGCGAGTCCCAATCCTCTAAAGTTCTACTCGTAATACTAGTATTAGTTAGGGTCTATTTGTTTGACGTGAAATCTGATGTCCTAATGATTATATTAAGAGTTTTATTAGTATTGATGAATTTTTTTTAACTCGGATATAAAATGTAGATAAGTGATAAAAGAAAACGAACAATTATAATTCCAATAGTAAAACACAGCGTCACATGTCCCACGGTCATGCTGACGTGCTGTATCATGATTGGGTAGGAGAGGATTCAACGAGGACATATGGTCATCTGCATATACAGAGATCAGATAAGTGATTGAGCGAGTCCTGAGTCCTCACTCAACTCCTCAGCTGCTGGCATAAATTCCGTATTTTCGCGTAAAAGCAACCACTTGTGTGTCAGCTCATAAACTCGAATTTTATAAATCAGTGTGGGCCAGACTGTTGGGGCCAAGTTATTAATGGGCCCTCCCTAATAAGATCACACGTGATGCGCGTCCTTTTAACTAGACCAAAGACTGCCCACGGGCACCAGTGAGGCAGTGACCGCCCAAACTGTACTGGTGTTATATTGCTCGCAAGTTGATTCAAGACTCGAGAGAACCTAGCTGTGGTCCTGAGGCTGGCCTCAGCCTGTCTTCTCAACTCTCGATCCTCCCAAACCAATTATTGTTTCCTAAGCAACCCAGCTAACCCCCAAACATCATAAGGGATTGAGTAAAGCAAGAGAAGCAGGACTCGGACTAGGAATGCCAACGGGGTGGGGCGGGGACGGGGAGTCTCTCCCATCCCTGCTAACAGGAACAACATTAACCCATCCCATCTTTATGGGGATTCCTATTTTCACGAGGATTTTCATTTCTTATGATTCTTTATGATGTTAATCATTTTGTTTTTATTTAATAAAATAATTAACATTACGATCGTATTAAAAAATATTTAAATACATTTGACCATATTTTTTAAAATATTAATACATAGATATATACTTACGTATTTACATATATAACGTATGCATACATTTATACAAATATATTAGTGGGGATTCCATGAAGCGAGAATTGGGGTCCCCATGGGGTGGAGAGTGCTCTCCCCATTTCTTAAAAAAATAAGAAAATTTGTCATCCCTACTCTAAATGCACGTTTAACAAGTTTTAATGTGACATGCTACTCCATCAGTCGGGTGATCCGGAATTGGAACCATCGATATGATGGGCCAGAACTTAAATCTTAACAAGCGTTTATAATAAGCATTTTGATCTTGCTCCATGGCGGAAGCTTGCAAATAGTGCATCATGTATTGACTGGTATACAATACGATAGTATGTTTGAGAATTGAGGCATAACTACAGTAAAGCAAATATTTGTGTACGAATGAATAATAGGGATAAGGCAACAATAACAACAATAATGCCGATACTTGCCTTAAGTTCACGTCAAAGACAATTATATTCTCTCACTCTATATGGTTCATTTAAGATTTAACTAATTTTCCAAAAGTACGAATGAATATCTAAGGGTTTGGACGAAAGAATCTTTTTTTTTTATCAAGAACTTTCTTTTCCGCCACACCTACTAAGGGGATCACATTGATGATCAGAACCCATTTGGAGAATCCACAGAAAAGAATGAGTTAAATCAAGATTGTTTCACTTTGAAAAACAAGAAAAAGAACTCTAAATCCAAGAAAGCCCAAGAGACGATTGATCAATTAGAAGTTTGTAGGTCGTCTAGAATAAACAAAGTTTTTCACTCTTAATATTCAGATATTCTTTTTAAATTTATTTTTATTTTCTGGTTTTGATTATTTTCTTTGTTTAGAGCTTCAGCTCCCATGTTGTTTCAAGGGTAAGGTTTCATGCCCCTTTTTTTTTCTAATCATTAATAAACTCCCCTTTCTTCTTCCATAAAATAAAACAAAACAAAACGAAAAACACAAGTTTATTTACCATAAACTATGCACAATATTCATGTGCTGAGTAATGCAGTGTTTTGTTCTCTCTCTGTGATTTTGTTTTCTACACTGCTACACTTATAGTTTCGTAAGACTTCCATGTAATAATTTGCAAGCATAAGTGCATAACAAAGTTAATGTTAAACTATAATGTTTTCATCCACATTCATTTAATTATCTTTGCTTTTCTTTTTGCTTAAGGCTCAGATTGGAAAGAGTACAAATGCAAATATGTACAATGCAAATAGATACAAAATAATACAAAGCATAAGGTTTTGCACTCTACATATTTGCATTTGTATTCCTTCCAAACTGAGCCTAAGTTTAATTCGAACATTTAACAAGGAATATCATTTTCTCTTGTTTTTAATTACTTTGTATTTTCTCCTTTTACTTTTTTATTTGTATTGGTTGGGACATTGGGCCAATATGACCCTTTCAATTGGCTTACATTTTTTTTCCTCTTAGGCTGTGTTTGGTTGCAATGCAAATAAATTTGTACTGAAGCAAAACTATGGCAGTGAAAATGATTTGAATGTAAATTCTGACATATTTTTGTTTCAAATTTTAGCTTATTTTTATTTGATTGAAGTACAAATGATGTAAATTAAGACATGAAGCAGAATAAAGTAAACCCAAAACAAAATTAAACAAGAATTTGCATTTTTTTCATTTGCACTCCCATGTATTTTTACTAGTGCAAATAAAAATGCACTGCAACCAAACGCAGCCTTAAGAAATTGAATTCCGGTTATCCCATTTGGATGAATTATTTGTGTACATGGTTCTTTTTTCTTATTTTATTTCTGTTCATTGGTTTGAAGGAAAATGTAGGGAAAGGAAGGGAAACCTATACAAGGTTTGTAAAGGTTTCCCTACCTATCCATACTTTTTCCTTCAAACCAAACACAGCCTAAAGGTATGACTACAATACCGGAAAGACATGATATCCAAAATTTTTGTGACCAATTAATAGGTATATAAATATGTTAACCAATCAAGTGGAATTCATCAAAATTCATAGATGGGTTTTAATTGGTCAAAACTCTTCTAGTATCATGTCTATCTGGCATCATAGATTTTTCCTTTTTTAATTATATTTCATTCTTGTTTTTATGAGCATTTCATCTATTATTATTGTAAAATAATGGTCTAATTCAAGCAAAACACTTCATGGGCAAATGTTATTTCAAGATATAGTAACATCTAAGAGTCCCTTTGGTTCATAGTTGGAATCAGCTGAAATGGGGTTTCATTCCCATGGGAGGGGGAGGGAGGTAATTGCCATTCTCTCAAATGGGAGAATGCCATTCTACTAGGAATGAAAATGAGATTTCAATTCTGTCCAACCAAATAGTTGGGGCCCATATATTCTTATTCCAATTCCAGATCCTATTCCTACGAACTAAACGTGTCGCCAATTATCATTCTTTGTCCATAACCCTCTGACAAATTCTAATGATATTAATACAAAATCTTACAAAAATATACACGAAGCAATTGTGGAACAGTTCTTGGTGCCCTATATATCTAGCATTGTAGGATGTGGCTCCTTTTTTCTTTGATAGAAAAGAGCTGGATCTGGCTCCTTTATCATGGAAGAAATGAGGACCCAAACACATGACTAGAACGCTGTTATAAAGAGGTCTAACTGAGATGTAATTTAAATTTTCTCTTTCCCAACTAGCAAGTAAACCATGCATTGGTAATTAAAATAGAAATTTGGTTGGGTTTGAGTTCAGGTTTGTAAGTCAAGGTTATCTGATTCGAAAATTTTCAACCACATCAGGCTTAGATTAGGGTTCAGATTTATTGAAAATTTGTCGAACTCCACAAGTCAGCCCAAGTTG